GTTGGGGGTACTATTTCGGGTTCTTTAACTACGGAATTAGGACCTACAGCCTGTGGATGTTTTATTTTTTCCTTCTTGATAAAAATAAGTATTCCCCTGTCGTTTCCCTGTTCCCAAAATCTTACTCCCCAGGTCTTACCAATCTTCCATGCATCATGTTGGGGCTGCAATACTTGAATCGTTAAGTACTTACAATTACCAGGATTAGCTAAACCTCCCTCAAATCTATAAGTAGGCTTCTTACAACCCGTGGGTCCCCTGTCAACTGTAAGATATTGGTCAGGAGTTTGGGCCTTCCAACCTCCCGTTGTTATAGTTTCACATCCCCAATAAGCACAATAATATTCCCCTAAATAGTTACAATAACTTTTTCCTGGGTTAGAACTGGGGCACCAATAGGTCGCTTTTGCATTTCCTTCTTCCGGTTTTTGCCGACATACATAAGGATCTCCTATTAAGGTCTCAAATAATTCACAATTGGTAATAATAAACTTGGGTGCCCCAACGGCAACGGTAGTATTAAGAATTTTCTGATCATCCCATCTACTAAACGTCCATTTATAGAGTTGATGAGGGTTCTCGTTCCCACAGGCAGGTTTCGCCAGCATCAGTAACAGACTTATTATCCACATACCTAGATATAAGATTGAGAAAAGTGGTGTGGTCTTGCTCTTTCTATAAGCATTTCCAAATTTTTGACATTTAATTTGGTTTTTGGTTTTATTCCCCGAGGGAGATGAGAAACTTCGGGGTGGCCCTGAGGTTATTGGGTTTGGGAGTTGTGAGTCAAGGGGCCTCGTGTGCCGTTTCTGGAGGTGGTTCATCAACCTCAATCCCCACAGCAGTACGCCTCTGCCTTCTCCTCTGCCTACTCTGTTGCTTAGAGCAGCGAGGCGTACCATCTTCTCGGCAGCAGTCGTTATTTTTCAGGGGAACCTCCGTTGTCATATTTAGTCGACCTTGACTTATAGCTCTCCCAGCTCTTATCTTTCACCTCCCAGACTCCACACCTCACTCTGG